TTCGGACCAGTACCTGAAACTGGCGCCTTAGACCAACTCGGCCATCTTGACATTAGCAACATGTTGGGTCATTATATAATTAACACTTATTACTCTTCCAAATTATAATTTAAAACATCTAATATCTGAGGAGATTAGACTTGATTTAGTAAGTGGTTTTACCAAAGGTCAAGATTTCAAATGCTAATCAAACAATTTGTGTGAAGTAAATTCACTATGCAACTATTTAAGAAAATTTTATTCACTACAACTTAACTTGCGCCAATTATACAATTGAGTCTTTCCTACTTTTTCAACAAACTAGCAAGTAGACTATTGGAGCCAATATTATTTCATATATATATATATATATATAGATGACAATGTCCATTTTGTTAGGCTTTAAACTAAATGCCTAAAGATTCCTAGTTATAACATTTTGTTTTTGAAAAGCTTAATTTGTGTTCATTGGTAAAAAAAAAAAATCAGACTTTTGACTTACACAAAAGTCTTAGTAGATTCCATGTCATAATAATGTGATATATACACCATAGCATTATGAGTATTTTAAACATATATAAGTCGCATATGACATACTTTCAAATTAAGTAAACAGAATAGTTTGTTTTGTTCGAATTTTAAAATCAAAGTAAAAAAATCATTCATCTTCAATATTTCTTCCACACCTTTTCAATTAATTGACAAAAATAAAACTTCAAAATCACCTCGTAGTGATTAAAGTCCCATTTTTTCCACTTTGTCGACTACTTGAAATGAATTTTGTAAAATCTTACTAACTAATGAACTAAATACTCTAAGTGTGACTTCTTTTATGTAGATTATATTGGTGAGCTTAAAAAATATAGTCATCTAGACCTGGCAATTTTGGACACGACAAAAGAAGATACAGAGTTAAATAGGTTTTGGGTTTAGTCTTAATTTATTTCGTGTCTAATCATGTCTGACACGTTAATACACGAAAATTTTCGTATCTTAACATGTCAAACACGATAAACACATTTAAAACACGTTTAAACACATTTATTTAATCGTGTTATTGTGTTTAAATATGTATATGTGACACGTTTATTAATCTATTAAAAATTAATAGTTAAAGACTATTTTAACCTTATATAAATAATTTTAAATAATTATTGTAATAAGTTTTTTTAATTTTATAAAGGTAATAATGTAATTATACATGCTCAAACCCTAATTTTTAACTTTTGGTTATCATTTTGGATTGCCTCACGCATGGCACACCAGATCTTTCTTCACTCTTTCAGTCAGCAAGCTTTGAGCTTTCTTCTCTTCTTCAATTCTTTTTCTTTTTTCCCCTTTCACTTCAGCAGTTTTTTTTTTTGAAAAGTTTTTTTTATTCAAAACAAAAATTAGTCAAACCAACACATTCCCCATTTGCTAAATACTTGATGCAAAACAAAAATCAAAACCCAATAAAAAATTGAAGCAAAACCAACATAACTACTCAACTGTTCTTTGAATGCAACAATCATAAACCACTAGCGTGCCCTTTATTTGCCCTTACCCATCAACCTCCATTTTAGTGTCAACTCAAACCAGTGACTCATTGCATCTTTTCCTATTTGCACCTAATTGCTTACATTCCTTGGACCAACTCAAATGTCGTCCTCTGGTTACTCCAGCTCCCAACCTCTGTTTTAGAGCAGTAATCCTTTGAATCACCTCATCCTTCCTTTCCTTGAAATTCAGTCCCAACTTTTTAGTTAATTCCCGAATTTCCTCTGCTTCTTATCTAATTGTCGAATATCTTAACTTTAAGTCTGAATCAAAGATTGTATCTTGCACCTGCTCATCTTTATCTTGCTTTGTCCGATGCATTGTCTGCGACTCGCTTCTTTTGAGATTTCAATCCTGATTGCAATCATGAGTCTCATCTTCTCTCCCAAAACCTCTCTTACATGGTTTAAGCACAACTTGTTTGCTTCCATTTACAAATTCTGGGCCTACTCCTTCATTCCCATAAGGTGTCTCTTTTGACAACTTTGGGCTCTTCATGACTAAAATTAATTTTGTCAAATTATGTATTGAATGGAAAAAGGTGGAATCTTTATCCAATATAAAAATATGGTAAGTAGTTATTAGTTAAAGCAAAAAATACCCATGCCATGTGATATGTTCTACCTTGTCATCAATTGCATGTTTTCTCCTCTTATTATGACTAGAACCAAAATGTACTAAAAAGGCAAATTATGCATTGAACCAATGGGTTAGAGAATTGATGGTATTTGGTAAACGTAGAACTTCAAATTGATTTGATTTTAGGTTTTCTCTACGTTGGTTCCTAACTTTCTCTCCTAATAACTTATATAAGAAGTCTAATCAAAAAACTTTATTTCAATAATGGTTAGTTATTATTTGTTTTTTCCATGACTCTAATCATGAAAATATCTTTATACCGTTCCAAGTCTATTAATTTTTTGTATTATATATATATATATATATATATATATATTAAGTAGTCACCAATAAATATGCTTCATTATAGATAATTTTACTGTCGAACAATATTTTTCTCTTAAAGTGAATAAATTCTTACAAAAAATGAAAAAGGAAAAAGAAATAGTGTACATTTAGTTGCTTTTTCTCTTAATTTGCTCTTGTTGTTAATTTTTCATTTTGAGGTTTGGGAATGTTATATTTCATTAGTTTTTTTTTTTTTGGTAATTTTTCTTTATAGCCTTGAGGTGTTGAAAAATAATGGACTCTGTTAATTCCAATGAAAAATGATTTGACTCATTTTTTGTGATATTTAATATGTAATCTGACAATATCAATACTTCTGATGTTATTTATGTTGCTGACATTTGTAGATGGAATCTGACAATATCAATGTTTCTTTTGAATCAAATGTTCATTTTCTGGAGGAATCTGATGATTGTGTACAAATTGATCAATTGGGAGCAATAGATGAAAAAAAGCCATGCCAACCCAAAAAATGAAAATTAACTTCAAAGATTTGGACATTTTTTAAATGTTTGCCATAAAAGAACTCAAGTGATGGAAAATCAAAAGTAAAATGCAAGCTCTATGGGTATATTTTGAATTATGAAAGCAAGTATGGGACAAGTAATTTGAAACATCATAATAATAATTGTGTTAGGAAAGACACATGTGATATAGGTCAAATGATATTTTCTAAGGAACATAATTCAATGTTAAGGAGGTCTTCAAAGTTTGATCCTAAAAGTTTCATAAATTAGTGGTAGTTGCAATTGTGATGCATAATTTGCCTT